GTACATAAATGCAGTGAAATAGAATTCCTTTGAGGTTAACTGAAAACACAGAGTACTTTGTGAGTTGAAAACAAACAAGACCATTCCTTTCTTTCCACCTTAGGTCAAAATTCCCTGTCTTGTGCAGTCAGTGTTAATCTATCAGTATCATAATATAATTAAACATGATGTGTTTTTATTATGGGATTAAAAAAAGGAAGGTACTTTAGATAGGATGACTTTGATAGGGCAATGTTTTTGTCATCACAGGTTATATGTTACAAACCATATTATTACTTTGAATATAAATAAACATAAATATTCCTGTGTCTGTCCCTGCACTAAGTGAGGTATTCACTGAATGCCTGCTCCATACCAATAAGAAAGACACACACCCTCCCTTTAGAACTTTACAATCTCTTTGGGGAGATAATTTAATTATAGTGTGATTAACCTAACTCTTCCGTGGTTCAACAGCTTGATTTAGTTCAGTAAAAAGATGAGAATATTATAGACAACAACACTGTGTTGTGAACTTAAAAATTGCTAATGACTAGATCTTAATTGTTTCCATCACAAAATGTACTAGTATAACATGATAGAGGTGTTAGCTAACCTAAGGTGACAATCATTTTGCAATATATAAATGTAGCAAGTCAACATAATGTTGTACACCTTAAACTTGCATGTTATATGCCAATTAATAAAAATAAATTTTAGGAATAAATGGATGTCTATTTGTATAATATGGCGCCTATTACTTCAATGATTTGAAGTTTCAAGGGGATGGAAGTATTTTCCCCAGCAACAGTCAATGATCTTTTATAGTAGGAGCAACCCATAAGGTACCATTGGGTATCTGTCCAGGATTTGTCTAGTTTGTTCATTTCAATGTGCTTGTGAACAAAACAAGGAACCCCATTATTACCTCAGAGTAGTTTTCTCAGCTAAACTGTTATGATTGCATACTTTCCACTAGGCTTATTAAGGGATACTAATAAAATTAATCTAGCCAATAATTTTAAGATACAGTATTTATATGCTGTTTTTAAATTCATTTGAAAATGGGACAGTAGCATTTTAATAGTAATTTATATTTTGGTCACTAGAGGGCACTAGACACATATGTATAGCTAAGGAAAAAATATCAGTTGATATTTCAAATGCAGTTGATATTTCAAAATCAGTTGATATTTCTGATTTGAGAATGCTGAATAAATTCTTTATGTTTTAACAGTTTATCAGTTCTTGTGAAGTAGTCAAAAATATTCTCAACTGACATTTTCAACCATCATTACGTTTTTAAGTAAAGTAGTATTCTTAAGAAGCAGTACTAACTGCTATATTTTTTTATATAGCTTTGAGAGAGATTAACTTGAGAACATGATGAGTCAAAAAAAGAAAAATCTCCTTGATGTTTTTATTTTTCAGAAAACTGTGGGATATATTTTCCAGAAATAAAAAGAGATCCAGGCAAGTATTTACACAGTTGTCCTGAATCTGTAAAAAAATGGCTTCAACAGCTGAAGAATGCTGGGAAAATTCTTGTATTAATCACCAGTTCTCACAGTGATTACTGTAGACTTCTCTGCAACCATATCCTGGGGTAAGTGATGAGACATTCTGCTTTGATGTTTATAAAACACTGATAGCACATTGGACCAGTGCGTTTTATAAATGTGCTCCATCATGACCTTATCAGTATATTAAACAACACTGAGTGGCAAATGGTTATTTCTCATAACATCTCTCAACATCCGCACCACACCCAAGTATGTTTTAGCAAAGCAGCTTTCCTGGGGTTTCGTCTGCTCATAGCTTGCTGATGACCTGGGCTTTAGATTTTCTGAAGGGTGGATGGAACACATGTCCCTCGTGCCTTCCCCAGCAACATTCAATGATTCCCAAAAAGTATGTGGGGATGTTGGATAAATATTATCTCCCCAGTGCAACATGGAGTCCCCCAAGAGCAAGAACTACCATTCCTTTGCCATTTCAAATAATCCTAAATATAGTATTAAGTCCAGATTGAAAACAATGATTGTTGTTATCTAAAAATTGCCACATTATAAGACAACGCTGACTTTCAAAATAAAGTATCTTCTTCACATTTTGAACACTCTCTGAAGACATAGCTTTGAGTATTTCTAGCTATTGGAAACTATTGAATTCACTTACCGTGACTGTGACCATTATGAGAAAGCTTAGCACCGAGAGTCAATGTGCTCATTCTTTCTTATGTTTATGTCAAGGTGTTGTTCAGGCATACTAGTGCTAAATCACCCTTTATTTCCAGTGGAAGATTTACCTTAAAATGTATAGGAAGCATGTAAAAAGTTCATCAAAAGATAAGAAATGATGGTGTGGTCAAGTAGATAGGTGAAGATTAAGTTCAATTTTATATAGACAGTTTCTAATTCCTTAAAATAAATATTTTAAAATTCTGTTGCTTTTCAGGAATGATTTTGCAGATCTTTTTGACATTGTGATTACAAATGCATTGAAGCCTGGTTTCTTCTCCCACTTACCAAGTCAAAGACCTTTCCGGACACTTGGTAAGTTAGTTTTGGTTTATTTCTTCTCCTCTTTAAGATTTGTTCATTCATGTATTCAGTAAACAATCTGTTGGCTAACAGCCATGTGCACACTACTGTGTTAGGAGGTTTTGTGTATACTGATAGGGGGTACGATGTATACTAGGTGAAAAACAAAGGTAAAATAATGTGTGAAATATACCACCATTTTATAATCAAAAGGAAAAATAAATAAAGATATGGTGATGCAGTATTTTTAACTTAGCACTCTTTTGTGCTACTTGAAAGCCCTACTCGGTGCAAGGCAGTTGACAGTAGCTTGGTTCTCTGCTTACAGAGGAGCCCAGAAACGGTGGAATCCAGGTTAAGTTCAGAGTCCTGGGTATCAAGCACTGAGTGGTCCTCGGTGCACCAGACAGAGGCATAAACAAACATAAGCAGGAAACCCCTGAGGTCGTGCTGCACGTTGTGAAGGAAGGAACCGCCTGATGAGGCCACCTTGCTTGGCTGGCCAGGGGAGGCCTGTCTGAAAAGGTCAGGCAAGGTGACTTGTAAGGAGGGACCTGAAGGGTGAGTCATGAGGAGAGCAGAGGATGAGTGTTCCTGGCGGTGGGACGGACAGCGGCCCCGTGTGGGAGACATCTGGCTGAGTTCCAGTGACAGAGAAGAGGCCTGTGGTTCTGGCCATAGGGATGCGGGGAGAGGGGGGACGTTAGGAAGGCAGGCAGCCTCATACACTGTGGGAAGGAAGGGGTTTGGGTTTTAGTCCATGAGCCATCTGAAGCGATTCAGTTGAGGTAGAAGAGTGACATAGAGACATCTTTGGCTGCTGGGTGGGGAATGCATTGGATGTGGGGAGGGTTAGAGAGGAAGACCAGGCACTTACAGTGTCCCAGGTGAGAGATGGTGTTGTTTGGTCTGAGGCAGTAGTTCTGGAGATGGTGCGAAGTACATGGGGGGAAGGGACAAAAGTAGGTTTACAGTTGTGACTCCATGAGACACAGAGTTTATTCTTGCATGGTTATTTATTATTGTATTATTTTCTACACAAACAACTGTAAACCTGCCTTTGCCCTGCCCTGTATATTTAAGATGTATTACGGAGGTGGAAAACATAGGACTTGGTGATGCTTTAGAAGCAGCAGATGAAAGGAGTAATCGAAAATGACTTCCAGGTTATTAATTTTTCTTTTTTCCTGAATTGAAAAGGTTGGTGCATAGTGATATCACTTGCAGCCAGGGGGAAGAATATAGAAGAAATTTGGGTGGGGTGGAGATTACAACTATTAAGAACTCATCTTTCAACATAGTAAATTTGAAATGCCTAGGAGTTATCTAACTGGAGCTATCAATTAGGAAATCGTGTAAGTGAGCCTGGAGTCCAAGAGAACAGAGGTAGGCTCCGGTGTAAATTTGGGAGCCATCAGCTCAGGGACAGGTATTTAAAGCCAGGGGCTTATATGAGATCAAATATAAGGAGAACGAGGACAGGCAAAAGACCCAGACCAAGCTTCACCACTAACTTTAAGGATAAAGAAGATTGCAATCTGGGAGCAGACAGGTGACAGTCGGGGAAGAGGAGAGTAGTGTTCAGAAGCCTCAGAGGAAAGAGGAGAGTCATCAATGAGGGCAAATGCTACTGAAAAAGGAGAGAGACAGTCCATTGGAGGGGCAAGACTGGTGTCCTGAGGAGCAGCGTAGAGGGAGACCAGATTGCAGTGTCCTGAAGAGTTGATTGAAGGTAGTGGAACCAATGATTATAGACAGTTCTTTCTAGAATTTGAGCTGTGAAGACAGCCAAAAAATGGAGGTGTTAGCTGAAAGACATATTTTGTTTGTTAAACTGAAGGTATTAGAATATGCAGATATGCTAATGAAAGGTCTAGGATAGTGGTTTTTGCCTGTGAAACTTTTGTTCCTCAGGGAAAATCTGGCAACGTCTGAATAGGCACAACTTGGGAGCCAGGATGCTACTGGGGTATCTAGTGGGGAGAAGCCAGGGATGCTGCTAAACAGCCTACAACTCACAAGACTGCACCTCTACTACCGAAAACAAGGAATTATCTGGTCCCAAATCTCAGTAGTGTCAGGTTAAGAAACCCTGGTCTAGTAGAAAGAGCTTGATGATAGTTTTATATATGGGTTTAATGTCTTATATAAATCCTTGATTTTAACAAACAATCTGTTATGAGGGAGTCAGATAATCCTCTTTGTATTAAACTAGAAAAGAATTATTTTTCCCCTCTTCACAAACTTATATTTAATACATAAGCACTCAATAAATTTTTATCTGCAGGGTTTTCATATTTTGTTCCAGTGTATACCTGTCCCATTTCTATACTTATTCCATTTCACAGATTTTTATTAAAGTCTTATACACACACACACACACACACACACACACACACACACACACGTATGACCTATTTATGTATTTGTGAAGTGCTTGTAGCAGTAGGTGTGCACTGAACACTAGCTCCTGCCCCCAGTGGTCCTGTCTTGTACATGTCCTGCAGCCATGCCTGCGTGTGGTCTGCCCAACAGGGCGCTCTCCCCTGACTAAAGAGGATGTGACTGTCACGCTGCATTTTCAGAGAATGACGAGGAGCAGGAAGCCCTGCCGTCTCTGGAGAAACCTGGCTGGTACTCCCAGGGGAACGCTGTGCACCTTTATGACCTGCTGAAGAAAATGACTGGCAAACCTGAGCCCCAGGTATTTCCTCACTGAGTGGGGTCCTCGGTGCCCACTTGCAGACAAACTTCTGTAAACTAAACCGTGATTCATTTTTTTAAATATATATTTTATTGATTTCAGAGAGGAAAGGAGAGGGAGAGATAGAAACATGAATGATGAGAGAGAACCATTGATCAGTTGCCTCCTGCACGTCCCAGACTGGGGATCAAGCCCGCAACCCGGGCACCTGCCCTGACCAGGCATTGAACTGTGACCTCCTGGTTCATTGGTCGTTGCTCAACCACTGAGCCACGCCGGCTGGACTAAAATCATGATTCTTACTGCATTTAGCTTAGTTATCTGTGGGGAAATAATCTGCTTTTGCTTGTCTACCAATCTCTTCTCTCACCTCTTCTGTTTACTAGTAAATAAGCCTTTTTGTTGAGGTAGACTAGGTCCTTTATCTGTCTCTGAGTGTAGGAAACCTTCCAAGCAAGGGGCCACAGATCGAGGGGAGGCACTGGATTAGTGTGGGATGCCTGAGGCATGACATCCTGATAACAGTCCCTAAAAGTTTTTATATGTAAAATAAGCAGTAACTGAAATTACAGGACAGACTAGCCTAAAGACACACTGGCTTTTGGCACCCTGGTCACATCGTCCATGTTGGACATTGGTGCATTTTCAACAGCAGGAGCTTTCATCTAAAAAATGTTTGCCAGGAGCCCTGCGAGCTGGAGAGATGGGTGGGTAACATCAGCTCCCAGGTTGCCACAGTGCCCTGGGACCTCCTGAGGGATTTTGTGGACAGTGCAGCCTGACTTGGAGGTTGTAATTCATATTCCCTTAACTGCGGCTTCTCGTCTGTAAAAAGCGTGTGGACTAGATCAGTGGACGTCTAGTCTTGGGAAACCCCGGGAGCTTCCCAGGGTCCTCCCGCCCAACCCCATCCTCAGAGAGTCCATGTCAGCAGGTCCAGATGGAACCGGGGACCTCTTGGGGAAAGTGGTTGTGAAGTGCACTCCTGCTAATCTAACGCACTGGGACAAGTCACCGCCAACATCTCACCAGTTCTTCAGTTCTGGGGGCAGGTTTAACTGTAAACATATGAACTCTTGCTTCTTCAGCAACCTTGAACAAAATCACTTCTTTTCTGCCTTTCTTCTACCTGCACATGCATTGTATAATTTCTTAAACTAAACCTGGCACCTGCAAACCAAATGGGCCAAGTTGATGGTCACCTGGAAAGTTCAAGGAAATTTAAGATG